CCAAATGTCCTTTAAAAAGCATGGTCAAACTATGAGCGTATACTAGATTATCGGAATTTGGCAGTGTGTGCACGTGGAGTATACGAAACGATGCCCGCTTTCCTCTCGTTTTTCGTGTTACGAGCACACACCGTGGTATGACTCATCGCACCCAGATATAATTATGGTAATCACGGACACCCCGTGCGCGCGAGCGTTCGCGTTCTCTCTTGCGACTTTCGAGAGAAGGATACGGAAAAGGAGGTTGGCTGGACCAATATTCTCTCCTCCGTGATTACGTTTCCATCGGGGGCACCCTAACTCCCGTAGTTACGAGAGGACGGAAAGATGTCCAAAATTTGTGGAATGTCTGGTTATTTTTAACGAATTGTTACAAACCAATAGAAGACGATTCTTCATTCAGAAAATAATTCAAGTCAATATTGTGAATGAAATTGATGTTGTATAAAATTCACTTTTTGTTGAGACAACTGATGTTAAATGTTTATGAAACAAATGGTCATTTAACGAATTGTTACAACCAAATAGAAGACGATTCTTCATTCAGAAATTAATTCAAGTCGAAACTGTGAATGAAATTGATCTTGTATGCGACTCACTTTTTGTTGAGACAACTGATGTTAAATCTTTATGAAACAAATGGTCATTTAATGAATTGTTAAGCCACACAGATGGCGGTCCTTCATTCAGGAATGGTTCGAAACTATAAAAGGAATCCTGTTTATAAGGATCTTAATTTTTTGGAGAAAACTGGTATTGTGGAATATGTGGTCATTTAAATAATTATTACAACCTAACGGACGATAATCCTTCATTCAGAAATAAGTAGAAATCGTGAAAGAGATCCTTTTTATATGAGACCTATTTTTTGGAGACCACTGACGATGAATGTTTGAGGAATGTGTGGTCATTTAACACGTCGATCGCCATGTCACTCATATATGGGTAACAGTGCTTTTTACTGAAGAACGAAAAAAATTAATTTTGAAAGTTAAATGTCAAAGGAAATTAAATTTTATTTACCGACTATTGGAAACTACGTGATCAAATATTTATCGTGGTATTTATTTGTCTAACTTCACCGAAATTCAAGTATTTCATACAAATTCATTACAGTAGACATTTTTAAGAGTTTAGTATGGCCGTCAACGTGTCAAACACGCGAAATATATAACGTTTCGGATTTACTTAAAGGAGGAAGAATAAAGGATTAGAATATACAAATCCATTGCACCGAAATATAATTATAATAATCACGGACACCCGGTTTCAAGAGAAGGATATGGAAAAGAATGGTGTCTGAGCTCGATCGCTGGTCCAATATTCTCTCCTCGGTGATTACGTTTCCATTAGGGGGGGCCCTAACTGCCGCGGTTACGAGACGACGGAAGGATGTGTTAAGCCAGAATACATCAGCTGTCCCGTGCCGAAATTTCGCAGAAGCCGTTAGCACGGTATACCGAATTCCCTCGGTTCACGCGCGACTCAGAATCGAGACAGGTTCGATTCCTCGACGCTGATTACCTGTACTGTTATCAGATATTTAAGCGCCTTCTGGAGTAATAGCTCACGGCGGACTCTCGCATCAATTTCCACGGAGTACCTTTAGAATTTCAAATTGGCCATCGCGTGGCCCGAGGTTTCGCACCAGGTTGGAGACGACGTAGTGTGATTTACAACGAATCGATGTTCTGTTATAAAATACAAGTTCGGAAAAAATCACACATTTTATACAAAAAATATAACTAGGATCTGATAAGAGACATATACAGTATCAAAGATTAGATTCTGCATAAAAATACAATAAATTTCTGACGAATTGTATTTAAAAGCATCTCACGTTTTATATAAAAATATAAGTATCACAGAAACAACACAATATACAGTACAAAAATTACGCGTTTCAACGAAGAATATGATGAATACTTAAAAATCTCTCAAAAGTGCACGGAATGTTATAAATACCATGTAGATCAAACAATAATTATAAAGTGCACACAATACACATATTCCATGTAAAAGAATGTATAATAAGAATGTAAATATTACAAAAATTTTTATAAAAATTTCATACTTTATATGAAAATACATGTATTACACAAACCAGACCGTGTACACCGTACACGAGCTACAATAATTATACAGTTTACGTAAAAATTCAGGTTCTACACAAACTAGACAAGCTATAGTATACTATGCAATCACAAAAATCTTCCACAGAAAAATCCAACAAACTTAAAAACAACAATATTTATAAAAATTCGTCCAACAACTCGCGCATCATACATAAATTATACATACAGCACACAAATCGCATGTTCCACATAAAAACTACAAGTTTCGTACAAGTAGCACACAAAAATGCACAAACAAACGACGAATATCGCACATTATCATTACGGTCATCATAAATTATTAAGCATTTACACTCTGTACTATAAATTTCTTATAAAATTCTCATTGAAATTTAAGTTCATACTAAAATTTCTTGTCAAATTCGTTTTCTTTTTATAAATCTCAATTACAAACGTCATTATAAATTAATAAAAAACATTGACACTCTTCTCGTACATATGGAAAAATAATCACACCAGAAAATATTTAATTACATCAGCCAACAGGCCTGTTATCGGCTCATCTTGCCAAAAGATTATGTACCAGAGATAAATATATAAAATTGTAAATGAGAATTCACGTTTGGAGGAGATGACCCATTAGTGTCATGTGTTGTTGCAACCGTGGCGCGCAGAATGCCAACGGTCGTTTCGAATCGAGCATCGAGCATCCGAGAAATCCAGTGACAAGAGAGTTTCGTGAATCTCTGGTAAGCGCGAAAATGACGAAACAAGTTATGTACAAATTTAGATCTTATCTGGAGGCGTTACGCGGCACCTATCCGAAAACTTGTTTGCAAATGGAAGAATGTCTGACGTATTTCTTTTAATCGAAGAGAGCGATGCATCGTAATAAACGAATCGTCGCGTTTTCGATGAAATATCTGCCTCGATAAGACGTCGAATCTTTCAAAAATTACATACAAGCCTTAAATGAAATATGTCTCGAGGAGTTCCTAAGTAAAGAGAAAATAAATAATGGACAAAGTGTAAATTAATGCAGCGTCGATGTCGTGCCTTGAACTCCCTGCAAGCATAGACGCCTTTCAAAAACACGAAGAAAAAGAAAAGACATTGTAAATACGCGAGATGTTGTGCGACATTGGGTTATGGGGAGCTAATTTACATGGTCTGTAAAATGCACGCGATCAAAGGCTACAGAAAATTGCGGAGACGTGATTCATTCGCTTTATTTGGAGGACAATGACGGTACCGAATTCTTTGTACAAATACGGAGGCGTCTGTGGAAAATGTGAGAAGAGTGCCATGTAAATAAATAATTAAATAAATCAGTGTGAACCCTCAGGCCTGCACGAGCAATTTTTATTACGTTTCGGCTCTACTGTCTCGAGTCATCTTCAGATCTGTATAATTATAATACAGGTGTATATTAGGTGTAGATATTAATTCTGGATTTTTATATTCAATAATTTATAATTCTAGTTTAAACAGGCACACTTACTCTTCATTTTGGTACATTAAAGTAACCAACCTTGTAAGTCCTAAATATAGTTTTACTTATTGTTATTCTTTTGCAATTATTATAATTATCAAGTACACTTGCAATCTGTTAGAATAATAGTAACAAGAACAACTGCATGGCTACCAAACTTCAAATTTATAAAAGTAACGCATCTATCGACTGCACATAGACCATTGCACTTACAAAAAAATACAGTTTTTCAAATATAGTAAGTATTCTTTGTACCATAGTACAAGTATAGTACAAGTATAGTACAAGTATAGTACTCTTTGTACCATTCGTGTTTTTTCTTTGACATTTTTTTCTAAATGCACTGCCACTGCCTATAAACTGCCACTCCCACTATTTCCCATAAATGCATAAACATCCGCAGTCTAGTAATAAAAATAGCCGGTGCGTGGGTTTGTCGTTATTTATCCGTAGAAAATGTCTCGCTGAAATGGCTGACAAACCGTTACGTAATTTTTTATCCGTTTTTCACACACCCCCGAATGACTTTGTAACGATCACAATTCGATCGTTCGGGGCCCACGGTGTATGAAATGTAAAACAGCACACGTAGAGATGTTCTATGTACAGTACTGCGCAAAATTCTTACGCTGCTTATGGTACATTACATCTTTTACATTTCTACTGCTAAGGAAAGCAGTACAAACTTTTATTTAGCTTATATAGATTTTATTTTACCAATATAATTGTGTAGTGTATCCGAAATTAGATAAAAATAGGATAAATTTAAAGGAGAATTTAATAATTAATACTGCTTTTACCTTCGTGACAGTGTTTACTCTTCTCGAACAACTTTCATATAATTCTTTCTTTCTCAGAAATGTTCAGACTTTTAATTCATGTCTTTTAATGTTTCATTCTACTCTAAATATTTTAAATAATTTTATTCTTTGTACATATAGTATACTTGTAGCCTATTAGAAAAAGAATAATAAGCAAAATTGTGTATGCGTACCAAACTTTAAATATAAGAAAATAATTCAACTATCGATTGCACAATGCACATGCACCATTGCACTTCCCAAATGTGATCCTTCAAATACAGTAATCTTTGTTCTATATATATTACTTTTCTGGAGCACAATAACAAATATACAATAGCAAATAAAATAAATACATACATATTACTTTTATAAAGCGCAATAAGAAATCCAGAAATATCAACGTAGATTAATCGAAGTGTAATGGAAGCTCCACATACCGGCCTAAGACTTTTGCACAGTACTGTATGTATAACGTAGGATTTACAGATGCCCGGCCGTGTTCGACCTGCATAATCCCGGTGCACGATCCATAATGCATCGATGAGCACCGCCTGCCTGATCACAATTTATAATTTATTGCCAAGTTACGAAGCTGCATCTCCTGCAGCTTTTTCTTTTCTGCCCTCTCAG